GAAAAAACCCGACTCGGACTATGTTGTCTCAATGAAAATCGAGCTTGTTCTCAATTTCCCTTAGTAGACCGCCGCTAAGTGCTTTCACAAGAAGTCAAACTTGCTACCAGCCGATTCTTCCTCCCAACTTTAAACCAGAACAACATCCAAACCAACAAACTCTTTTTGATTTAAAAAACATTTTGATTTTAAAGGACAGGCCGTTACCTATCCTATTTCTCCAGAAAATTGAAAAAATACCCGAAGGTATTTTAAGTACTTTTGAATACTCACAATAGGAATTGAGTCATCGCTTTAGCCCTTAGCTTATGGAGAAATGAGCTAAGTATGACAATCATACTTAGCATCTTTAAAAATAAAAATAAAAACAAAAAAAACTTTGAAAAAGAAAAGAGAACCTTTATAAAACTCAAAGCAAAGAAGAATAATAAATCAGAATGTGTTTTCAGGCTTAGCTTGAGAGGGTATTTATAGCATTCAAAATCCATAAAAATAATAAAAAGATAATTCCTAAAGATAATTCTTGAAAATATTCAAACTAAAATCTTAAAAATATGAGATAATCTTGAATTCGAATTTCAAAAACGCGGCTGATCTATTCGTCATTCTAGAAGCTCTGACTAGACATTTTGGAAGCTGTTAACTCAAAGCCACGTCAGATGCATCATGCTCACTAATCCAACATTGATTTCGAAAAACAAAAAAACTGTAGAATTCTATCACAGAAAATGAATCAAAACGAACAAATAAACCACACAAACTAACAGCTAAAAAGTAATTTAAAAGTAAAATAATAACTAAATAAACCATCTATCACATACGCCCTAGTATAAAAACCAAGAAATCCTCAACTCATACCTTCGAACCCAAACGTTGAAGAACCGTGCAAATATGGAGAAAATTGCATAAAGACCTTTACCTCCAAGTAAGTAGAGAAAACTCTGTTACCATCCTAGCCAAGTCCCTTGCTTTCTTTGTTTCTTTGTCTTTCTCTCTCTTTTCCTTGCGTTTTCGACGTAGACAAATACAATGAATGATAATAACAATTATCACTAAACCCATTATCCCTGAAATTTCGAGAAGTCAAATTCAATCATAAACATCAACAAAATGCTTTAAAAGCTAAACAAATAATTCCAACTTATTTGCTTTGATTCCTCACCTCCAAATATTATAATACCAAAAGATGATATACCCCTCGCTAGAATGAGATTAACAATTATCACTAAACCCACTATCCCTGAAATTTTGTGAAGTCAAATTCATTAATAAACATCAACAAAATACTTAAAAAGCTGAGACAAATTATTGCAACTCATTTGCTTTGATTCCTCGCCTCCAATTATTATAATACCAGAAGATGACATATCCTCCGCCTTAGATAGCTTAATACGTGCTTGTAGCCCAAGGCTTACTCCATTTATAATTACAAGTCTTTGAGTCAAATTAATGAGACACTTATTAATACAAGTCTCCCTCGTAATTTCCAACAAAAACGAATGGGCAACACTAACTGTCCGTGTTAGAAGGTGTTAGAAATAACAATAATTAGTGAAAAATTTGTTAGTATTTGATGGTAATTTGGGCTATATAAAACACTGTATTGTACCAGGTTAAAGGGGGAGTTTTTACAAAGGATTGTAATTCATTTCCTAACAATAAAATTTTATCCCTCATTTCTTTCAAGCTTTCTCTCTATCATATTTACCAAATATTGAACTGCAGTCACACCCACCGTTTACTTTTCTCTTCACCGCCGTTCGTCATCCGGCCACCGTCTGGTCGTCATGCCTCCTTTCTCACAGTCCGTAGTTCCAGCAACGCTTAAGGGGCGAGTAAAATGTCGATTGAACCGAAATGATTTAATTAGAATATTTTGGTGTGTTTCATTTTTTATTTATTTGGATTAAGCTGATAATTCAATTTGATTATCGCTTTTTTATATTCAATTTTCTATAAAAAAGTTGATATTCAATTTGAATAAATATATCAAATTTAATATGAAATTAAATATAAAATAATTTAGTCTAATTATTTAATTAATTATATATACCTGTAAAATAAAACACTTTTGATTTGTCATTTAACCCTTATTACATACTAAACAAATCAAAAACCTTTTTGTTTTCTTTATGATATTTTCCAACTTCTATGGTCCACAGACACAAGCTGTGAAGCTTATGACGTTAACTTGTTTCTAAACATTGATTGACACAAACTGTGATATTTTTCATTACGGATGCCGCTGTTGAACACGAAAACAGAACATGTAGTGGAGTCCATTTAGGGTTCGTGTCAGTAGGCGATTGAGCTGATTTAGCTCAACAAGTGGCGATTTGGAGTTTTGGATTTTGTGCGTTCAGATTTTTCATCCTAGTCTTGTAGTGTTGAAAACTCTCATTTATTACAGTTGTGTTTTTGGCGATGTTCTCCATTTTTGTCTCTTATTTGCTAAAAGATTACTTGTTATTAGCTTTGAGGAGTTGAATGTTTGTTGTAGACTGGATATTGTAATCTTGTAGATGAACATTTGATGATAGTGAAACTTTTGATCGGATTTTAAAGTCTCCTAGTTTTTTTTTTTTGGATAAATTTGAATTTATTATCCAAGAACCAAAGTCTGGTACAAGCACTTCCAGAACCGAAACAAACAAAACAATTACAGCCTACATACAAAAGAAAATCGGCTAACCTATACCCCAAGCATTACAAAGTTGAATATTAACATAATCAAAACAGTTAATTTTCTTTCCTCTGAGTTGGATCCCTACTATCTCTTTGATATCTTTAAAGACATCTTCAGGTGGTCTGGAGCATCCTTGAAAAAGGCGTTTGTTTCGTTCCTCCCAAACGGTATAGACAAAAGCGCACCACGAGATCTTCAGGATAGTGGTAAGCAGTGAGTTTCCTCTCCATAATTCACAAGCTTGAACAATCATGTCCTCCCAAGAACGAGAAGAATTTATCAACCTAGTATGCAGAATCACTTGATTCCATACATGAGAAGCAAAACAACATTAAAAAAAATGGTCTCTAGTTTCAATTGCTTCGTTACAAAGGCAACATATTGTATCATTAACAATTCCCATTCGTTGTAAACGAGCTCTAGTAGGGAGTCTATCTAATAAAGCCATCCATGTAATCATACTATGTTTAGGAATATGTAAAGGATACCATACCAATTTATGCCAAGATGCCCTATCTCCTTTCTCTCTTATTTCCTCCCAAATAGATCGAATATTCAATGCTCCAGCAGAAAAAACAGCAACATCTTCTGTTCTGGATTTTAGGATGCGGTTTAAGCACCAGCTGTAAGAAGGATTAGAGTCAAATTTCCAGAAATCATGATCCTTTATAACATTTTCTTTAATCCAGACCACCCACATGGAACCTTCTCCAGCAAGGATTTTCCGGATAAGGTTGATCATGCACGATCTGTTCCAGATTTTAAAACTTTTCAAACCGAGCCCTCCTTCTGACTTCATTTGGCAAATTTTAGACCATTTTACTCTTGCACCAGCAGCTGAATTATCAGAACCTTTCCAAAAAAACCTGGAGCAGAGTTGTTCAATCTTGATAATGATCGCTTGAGGTAAAACAACCTGACGGCACCAATAGTTTGCAACATTGTGGAGAACAGTCTTGATGAGTTCCAGGCGACCAGCATAGCTCAAATGCTTACCAGACCAGGAAAGAATTCTTGTTTTAATTTTCTGAATCAGGTTTTCACAGTCCTTCTCAGTCAGTTTTCTTGACACTAAAGGAATACCCAAGTATTTTACTGGCAAGGAACCATGAGTGAAGCCAGTTGAGGCCTTGATAGATTCAATAATATTCCTTGAGATTCTTGTAGTAAAGAAATCACATTTTGATGCATTTAGTTTAAGTCCATAAATTTCATAGAAAAAATCCAGAACAAAGCAGACTCCCAAAATAGATTCTAAATTCCCTTTGCAGAATATTAATAAATCATCTGCAAAAGATAAATGTGTGAGCTCAACTTTTCTACATTTGGGATGATAACCATACAACCCTCTGGAAGCAGCCAAATTTAGTAATTTGGATAGGACATTCATAGAAAGGACGAAAAGGATGGGAGATAGAGGGTCTCCTTGTCTAATACCCCTAGCTCCCTTAAAAAAAACCAATAAGACTGCCATTAAAAGAAATGGAAAATCTGGCCTCCCTGAAACATGCTTCAATCCAGCCAATAAACTATAAGGGTAGGTCAATGGCTTTTAAGATAGCAGAAAGAAAATCCCATTGGAGAGAGTCGAATGCTTTTTGGATATCAATCTTCATGGTGCACCTTGGAGAAATAGTTTTTCTTCCATAACCCTTTACAATCTCTTGAGCAAGAATAGTGTTGTCAACAATGTTCCTATCTTTTATAAAGCCAGATTGATTGAGGGTAACAATTCCAGGAATAAAGCCATTAAGTCTTTTAACTAGAATTTTGGAGATGACTTTATAAATCACAGAACAACAAGAGATCGGTCTGAAGTTTTTTATCTTGCTAGGATTAGGAACTTTAGGGACCAAGACAATTGTTGTTGCGTTGAAAGCAGGCAAGAGAGAGGATTGCTGGAAGAAAGATTTAATTGCTGTAATGACATCATCTCCAACAATAGACCAAGCAAATTTAAAGAAGCAAGGAGTGTAGCCATCGGGACCCGGAGCTTTGTCGTTAGCTTGACAGAAGACAACTTCTTTGATTTCATCAGCAGAGATCTCTTTAACCAGGCTTAAGGAAGAATCTTTTGGCAGAGCAGTCTTCAGGATGTTTTTCAAAAAACCAGCATCACTACCCTTGACATTCGGATCTGCAGTACCAATCAGATTGGTGAAAAACTGAATAATTTCAGACGACATAGCACCATAAGATTCAATTCTATTTCCACTGAACCTATTTGCCTAGAGACTTCAGTCGTTCCTCCTAGCTCTATAGAAGTAAATAATAATTCAGTTTCTGAGGGACTAATCAAACCTGCTGTCAAACCTGATTCTGCCAATCCTCAGGAAGAAGAAAACCAATCCCCTCAGATTTTAATTCCTAAATGCGGTAGGGGAAGACCTGCAAAAGAAAAATTAGTGTTAGTTGGTTCCAAAAATAGGTTTAATATTTTAAATTCAGTTGATGAAACTTCTATAACCCTTGAGAGTCTTCATAGGAAAGCTAGACCTGCCTCCATGGGAGTGGCAGTTTTGGTTAAAGAACTTAAAAAGAAAAAAAAGGGACAAATTGGTTCTTGCTAAAAGTCACGAAGTTGGTGGTCAGGGGAGCCCACTTCATTCTTCGTCTCAATGATCCTAAGTTTCTGGAATGTTAGAGGGCTCAATAACCCTCACAAGAAGGATAAAGTTCTTAAAAGAGCTATTTTAAATAATATTGATATTCTATGCTTACTAGAGACTAGAGTTAGAGTGGATAAAGCCAAGGACATTTTTGTTGCTAAACTTGCTAACTGGCATGTTAGCTCAAATTATGATTATGCTACTAATGGGAGGATATGGGTTTTATGGAAGAAAAGTCTGGACTTGTCCTTCATTCAGGCTACTGATCAGGCTATTTCGGTTAAGGGGTCTTTCTATGGTTGTCCCTTCTTTATTACTGCTATTTATGGTAGTAATGATGCTATTACCCGTAGACATCTCTGGCAGCATCTTCATGAGTTGGATAGACTTTTTGGTAATCTCCCATGGATCCTTGGGGGAGATTTTAATGTCATTTTGCAACCCAATGAAAGCTCTAATTTTGATTCTTGTCCTCATTCTTCCTCTGACATGAAGGAGTTTCAAAATGTTACTCAAGATCTGTTCCTTCATGATCATCCTTACTTTGGTCCCCTATTTACTTGGAGCAATAAACAACTCTCCTATATTGCAAAGAAACTTGACAGAGTCCTTGTTAATTCCTCTTGGGTTAACACTTTTCTTAACTCTTTTATTGAATTTCTTCCTCCTGGTATATCAGATCATTGCATGTCTGTTGTTTGGCTTTCAAAGGAGGTTCCCGCTAATCATCCTAAACCTTTCAAGTTCTTTAATTTCTGGACCCTCCATCCTAGCTTCTTGGATACCGTTGCTAATTCATGGCAGTGCCCCATCAGAGGTGACCCTATGCAAATCTTATTTCTTAAATTAAAGCGCCTTAAGTCTTGCCTTAGGCTCATAAATCAATCTCACTTCAGTGATATCTCAAATAGAGTTAAGCAAAAGCAAATTCAGTTGGAACAACAACAACTGAACTCCTTAAATGGAGTTGATCACTTCGAAAAGGAGCTTCATATTCAGAAAGAGCTTGACTCCCTTCAAGAAGCAGAACTTATGTTTTTAAAGCAAAAGGCTAAGGTCAGTTGGATTAGAGAAGGTGATAAATGTTCCAAGTTCTTCCACTCTGCAGTCGCTTCTAAAGTATCCTAGTTTTTACCATTGATTTAGATGGGGTTTTTATGTAAAAATTTTGGTGTCTCAATTTACTGTTGTTGTGGTTGCATTGGTTGAATTAGTGTTTGTAGAGAATTAATTTATGCTATTGTGCTTGTTATAATTATTCACTTGAGTTATAGGGAGAAAAAAACACCGATTATGCTTTTGCTTGATTTCGGTTGTTCAGTTTTTTTTCCAACAAGATGTTTATGTTCACATGGTATATAAGTATTGCAATTTATATTTATCTTTTAACGGAAAATAATATCTCAGGTTGAAAAAACTAGTTTATTAATAAATTTCTGAGTAAAACAAGAAACAAGATATAAACTTGTAATTTAAGACGAGAAACGTGAGCCACTTACGACGCATAGTGAATCTAATTTTTTTCTCATGATTGTGGTGTCATCTGCGTCATAATCTGCTGTTGAATTCGAGCTGCTACAGGTGATTGAATGTACATTAGCTGATGAAATCAGGTGCTGAAATGGGTTGGGAGGCGTAGCTGCTTCAGCACCACCTTCTAAAATCTTTACAACGTTCCTCATGGGAGGCCTAGCCTCTGGAGAGTATTGGACGCACCATAGAGCCACACTTACCATTGTCTTGGCCTTTTCCATATCCTTTTGTTCAATTTCCCAATTCTCCAAAATCTCCTCCAGTTCTCCCTTGTCAAATTTCTCCCATACTTGTTTCGGAAACCAATCTTGACTCTCACCTACAAAGTTCCTCCTCCTTCCAATAATCTCGAACAACATCACCCCGAAACTATACACATCGCATTTATAGCTCACTGGAAATGGCATCCAAATCTCCGGAGCAGCGTATCCTGGAGTCCCTCCTACTCTCGACATAGTTATATTAGTGCTATCTCGATTGCGCAACTTTGCGAGTCCGAAATCAGCAATCTTTGGGCAAAAGTTGAAATCAAGTAAAACGTTTGCAGGTTTAATGTCATAATGGATAATTTTCTTAGGGCTGAAATGATGTAAATACTCAAGCCCTCTTGCAGCTCCAACTGCTATCTCATATAACTTGTCCCACTCAATTTCATGTTTATTCTCGAATAACAGTTTGTCGAGAGATCCATTTTCCATGTATTCATAAACTAAAGCTTTTGTCTTTTGTTCAAAGCAGAAGCCATAAAGTCTTAACAGATTCCGATGGTATGTTCTTCCTATGGTGTTGACCTCCGCCATGAACTGCTCCTCAATCCTTTTGTCTATGCCGTGGCTGTGGAGTAGTTTAACAGCTATGGGACGCCCATCCGGAAAATGTCCTTTGAAAACTTCTCCATACCCACCTTGGCCTAGTTTGGTAGAATAATTTGATGTGAAAATTTGGAGCAACTGAGCTGAAAACCTGGCTGGTTTTTCATTGAGCACCAGCTCAATGAGTCTTTCTATCGTCTGTTTGTCTAAATTTGCTTCCTCTTCCACCGCGGATTCAAGTCGTGGCACCGGTTGGTTCTGGTGATAAGTAGTGTGCTCTGCTAACATCCTAGCCAACTCCTTTGCTTTCTCTGTTTCTTTGTTTTTATCCTTTTCCTTGGATAGGCCATATAGACATTTAATCATAGCAACAATTATCAATAAACCCCGATATCCCTGAAATTTTGTAAAGTCAAATTCAACCACATGCATCAACCAAATGGTTAAAAAGTTATAGAAATGATCGGAACATAATTTGCACATCAAAGTTGTATGTATTCCTCACCTCCTAAGGTTCCATATATTATTGCTGGTATGTTGTCCTCCTGGTTTTGAGGATCACCAAAAGATGACATTCTCCGCCTTGGATAGATTCTTGTCTTCTTCAAGCATAGCTTAATACATGCTTGTAGTCTTGTAGCCCAAGGCTTACTAGATTTATAAATAAAAATTTGAGTCAAATTAACGTGGCATTTTTTTTTTGTTTTCCCCCCTTCTAATTCAATTAGTAGGAGGTATCCACTTCCGTCAAGTTTGTGGTTACACTTGCAGCTGCGCCAAGCATTCATATTAAACAAGTCAAACTCCTTTTTGTTTTCTTTATGATAATTTTCCATGTCGATGGTCCACAGACACAAGCTGTGAAGCTTATGACATTAACTTGTTTCTAAAAATTGATTGACACAAACTGTGATATTTTTATTAACTTGTTTTTCAAAATGATTTGACTGTTATCATTACGGACGCCATTGTTGAATATAAAAACAGAACATGTGATTATCTTCCAAGCCTTTATAATCAACCTGCCACCGCTTGTGGAATGCCGATGGTGAGGCAAATTTAAGTGAATAATACTCTTTTATATAATTAATTATGAGAATAATATTCAAAATTATTTTTAAAGAAACAATATTTTATTTCAGTTGTGTGAAATAAAGACGTATTTTATCAGCAATATTTTATCAAAAGGGTACTGTGTTAAAAGAGTTTGTTCATATACGACAGTCTATGTAAAGTTGACAAAATTTTGAAGTTATCGAGTGACGTATGTCATAATTTTTCATTGCATTACTAAGGTTTCTTTATTTAAAAACTCTATTCTAACACTCGATTCATCAATAGTGACATTGTAGTTAAATTGGCCTAAATTTGGCATTTCAAGAAATTTGGGTGTGTCTATGTTAACGTGGTTCAAATGGGATGGTGATTCGTAGGCTGGTAGGTAAATGAGTCTACGTTATCTCTCGTTATATGACATGTTGCGTTGGATGTGTTGTCATTTTCATAGCCATTGATACTACCATTCATATAAAAAGTAATTAGTTTCAATTTAATGAATAAATTAATCTCATTACCATCGACAATAAGATCCATAAGTGATTCTTTAATTTAAGAGTCTTGTCACCATCTAATTCATATAAGACACGTCCTCAATTGCTCCTGCAATTGTTTCAACAATGATGAATCAAAGAGGGGTTGTAGTTATAACTCGATCAAATGACCTTTTCCAAAATTGAAATCAATGGAAACAGTGCATGAATGTCTCCCTATAAAAGATGTTGGCTTAATAACGTATGGGTTAAACGTGAAATGTTGTGGATGACATGTCATCGAATGGGTTAATACATGTCATGTTATGTTGATGCCATATCAATGTATATGTCATATGTGGAATGTTGTGTTCCTAGCAAGTCACAATTCATGTTGAATGAGGTAAAAGATGATTCTTTTCTTATTGAACTTGATAGAATCTCTTGCATGTATTGGTTCAAGTCAATGACATTTACTTATAAATATTGTTGAACTTATATTTTGATATAACAAATATTTGTAAAATTGATTTTTGACTTCATCAAATATTTCAAAAATAATTCAAAGTCCAAAATATGAAAATATGTTTTCTAAATTGTTATATATATATATATATATTAGTTAATTAAAATATGTTGAAAGTGTTTAAAATGTGTTTAAAGCCTTTAAAATATGAAAAACACTATTTAGTCAAATATGGTATTGTTCACGATACTGTTCTTACACAGATATTGTTCATGAATAGTGAGTTTCGAAACTTTCACCCTTGAAACAACTTCAACGACCCGATTTTCTTCAACGATAATATTTTTAAGTAAGAGTTTCGAAACTTTCATCAAAGTTTTAAAACTTTCAAAAACAGTATGTTTAAGAGTTTTGAAACCGTCCCCAAAATTTTGAAACTTCCTATACAAGTAGCCTTAATTGCGCATTTGATAGCTTCCAACGGTTATAACTCATCCCCAACGGTCATAAACGACTAAAAACTCATTCCACACCATAAAAACACTCCAAGGAAACTTGAAGAAGGTTACAACACCTATTCAAACAAAGAGATCAAAAGAAAAACTCTTTCACTCTTTATTTTCCTTTTCTCTTGTACATAAGTGTGTTTAAGCTTATTGCAAATCTCTTAATTATTTTCTTGTGAGCTAGTCCCTAAACGTTTGATGAAAATGGTACTTACCCATCCTAAAATAATTAAATGAAACAAACACATCCTAAAATGATTTTCTTTTAAAAAAGTTTAAAAGAAAAATATCATTAGACGATTTTTTTTGTTAAATTGATATAAATATTTGTATTTATAACATGTTAATATAAAATAGCCCATATCTTTTGGTTACACCAATAAAATGGGAATTAAATTTGAAAGTCAACAGAATTTCCTTTTATCAGGTCAAAGCAGAAGAACCCATCATGGTGGGACTTAAACACATGATCTCCCGCTCCGGACGCGAGCGCCTTATCCATTGGGCCACGCGACCAAGGGACAATTGTAATCATCTAAGCTATTTCTTTCCTATAATTATCATTTATTCTTTAACAAATTTGCACCTCTGTATGGTTTTTGCTCCACTTCTGATCTGATTAGTTGTCAATTTGTATCCATTAGTGACCGAAATAAAAAAAAAATTCAGTGACCATAATGCAAGTATAAAAGTTTATTGACCAAATACAAGCACTCTAAACGTTTAGGGACTACCAGTATAGGTTACTATAATTATTATTAGATTTTTATAGTCATCGTTAAGCATAAGCAGGAACCCTAGTGCAGATAAATTCCATTTCTAATGCACAAAGAGTAAAAAAAAAAAAAACGATCGCGATGGGACTCGAACCCACAATCTCCCGCTCCGGAGGCGAGCGCCTTATCCATTAGGCCACGCGACCAGTTTACATTAATCCTTACTTCAGCTTTGTTTTTCAATATTTATTATTCTTAAATAATTTCTGTATGTTTTAGTGAGCACGTAGTTCAAATTACATAATTATTTTTTAAAATAGTATGAGAATATTACATGATAATAATAATAATAATAAAATTTTCTTAGTAGTACATACGTCTATCTTTAAAGAAAACAATATCTTTTTCAATTAATGTCACTAAATAGATTAAAATTACAACTATTCTTGGTTTAAATTTAATTAGTCGGCCCTTATATTGATTAATATATATGCGATGAATACAAGGTGATATATGTTCGAAAATTCAATCATTTTACAATGAATGCTTATATATCTTGCAACGTCGTGTTTGAACTTGAAACTTCAAAAAATAAAAATTATTTGTTTAACCATTGAAGTCACCTAATTCGCGTATTCTATATATAGCTCTAACACTTGTAGATTTCATCAAATATGCCATAAGATGGAAAAAATAAATTGAACTGAAAGTCTGAACAGACCATAGACTCGATTAGATCCCAACATCGGCACTTGATCGGACGGTGAGAAATCAATTCTAATGTACATGTTAAGATCCCATCAGACATCTGTTCTAAGGCATAAAGGAACATTTTAGACACGTGCAAGGTAACTATTCTAACCGTTTCTTATCCAATCTCCCCACATTCATCTCAACCCACCACCACTTTCTTCTCGGATTCAGTTTTTCATACCTTTTGTATAAAGTTGGGTCGTATCAAAATCTTTCGCGTCTCAACTGGTCAATAAGAAAGAAAACTGATTTCGACAGTTTTCTTCTCCTAATTCAGGTATGTTAAGCTTCTCTTATCTTTTCCCTACTTCAGTTTTCTGAATCTTCTATACATGTAACTTTCAGAAGCTGCGTAGTACGTACGTCATGGTTTTGAGTTCATATTTCAACTGGCAAACTAATGCTGCATCGGAGCCGATCTATCAAGCAAAAACAGCAGAAGCGAGGCCGATGCTCAGCTTGTTGCAGCAGGAGATGATCTTAAATATAACTTGAATGCATTTGAGCTTCCTAATCATGCTCTTCTTGATTCTTACATTGTCCCTTATGAACCTTTAATTTCATTCACATACGAAAATTTGAGTTCCTATTCCTGCTCCAAGCGCCAGAAACTCATTGAGGACCAATACTGCTCGGATTTGATGCCTGGTGTCTTCGATGGGGTTGCTCTAAGTCGATTTCCCGTGCTTGAAGATCATCGAAGCATGAATCAGTTTAACTGTAACACGATAAGTGATGAAAAGTGTGTCTGTGCAAAGCATTGCAGCAAGAGAGAGGAGGAGGAAGATTACTAAAAAGACTCAAGAGCTCGGGAAGCTTGTGCCTTGTGGGAGTAAGATGAACACTGCTGAAATGCTTCAGTCTGCGTTCAAATATGTCAAGTATTTGCAAGCTCAACTTGGAATCCTTCAACTTATGGACTCCTCCTTTGCGGTAATTTTTTTAGGCTGATTCTTCCTACATTTCTCCCTTTCATTTATAAACAAAGGGGTTTGAACTAAAATGCAGGAGAGTGAGAAGACAAGTTGCAAGGAAAACATGCAAATCGTAACATCTCCCAAGGTTCTAGAAAAGCTTACGTGGAAGGTAAGTGTTTGGTTCCAAACGATGTCGTTCTCTCTTTGGCAGGACACTTTAAACCTCCACTCTCCTATGAACTCAGTCGCCTGTTATCTTCACCTCTCCATACCTGAAATGACTGGTTTCACTATAGTACTACGGTATGGTCACGTAGTTATAGATGTGCGGATTATTTCTTTAAATAACTATCTGTTTATGACTTTATGTTGCGGATAGGGTTTATAGTGTCTTGATGATCTTAAAAATTTACGATGCTTTGTTATATATGTTGTGACTACAATTTAATACTATGAGTTTCACTGTAACCCTTTTAGTTTCATTTTGGATTATCTCTCTTCTTCTTTTTAACGTTGTATATTATTAAATCATATTTGATGGATCTATTTGTTTTTCAATTGAAGTAATGTCCTTGTGCTTTTATCTCATAACTCCCAAACAATGAAAACAAAACAAAATAACCTGAAATTTCTAGGAGAAATAGAATTAATTGATATTTACTAACTTTTCCTAGGTCATGTCTAGATGAAGTCTAGCTAACATACATGCTAGAGTCACCCACCCCTTCTATAGAAAGGGGT